GAAGGAAAGGGGAAACAATTTTTTACTTGTCATCTCGCGAAAAAGGTACTGCTTTCGGCAGTTGCGATGCAACCTGTCGTCCAAATTAAGTATATTCATCCAATCCATAAAGTATAATATTACCATAATTAAGATGCGTAAATTAATATCTCTTGTGTTGACCGTACAAAGGTCAAAGAAGGAAAATTCAGCTCTGCAACGAACGGCAATTTTGACGATAGCCCATGCATTGCGTTTAATGCGTTCGTGTTCTAAGGAAACAATCGTGCAGAAATGCTTTTGATTGACGGCCGCATCGACGAGGTATATTTGCCCATTGGCAAATTTATATGTATATGCGATAGTCGCGCGTAACAACTATTTTTAGCGACTTGAAACTGTATAGCATGATGGTGAAGTAAGATATTCAGTGACGATACGAAGCTGGATATTGCAGACGTAACCGCGGAGCGGACCTGTTCTATCGATGACGTAACGCAGCTAGCAGTCTGACACTTGTGTACTACCTAGATTACTAGCCGTAAGGCAGGAGGTAAACGCAGCAGGAGGCTACGTTAGTCTACACAAGTCGCAAAAACGCAGAACGCAGAACGCAGTTCGCAGACAGCCAATCGAAAGCTACTATTAGATATACCATTCGCGCTTCTGATTGACGCCCTTAAGGCGTAAGGAAGGAAAGAAGTCTTACACTTTCTGGACTCACTGCTCCGAAATCAATGTGCAGTTTGCATTTGTTGCATTTGTGCAGGACATTGCAGTCTCGCATGCACCAAATGTCCAGCTGTTGACCAAACTTCAATTCCAAACAAATGCCATTTTTCTTCATGCGATTCGTACAATTTAAACATTAATTCAATCTTTTTTGTAGAAAGATTAATAGAAAGATTAATACATACATATACACATGTGTGTATGTACAAAAATTAGAAATCGAAGGATGAATGGTTTATCGTTTTTATAAAAATATGACGATTTAAAATGCTCCGTAAAAATAAATTATCTAATATTGCTGATATAAATGCGGGAAAGATATATTAGACTTAGTATTTTATAGCATTGCGCTTGATATATACAGACTTATAATGACTTCCGTCTATTGCAGTATTGCGGAATTGAATATAAAGTTAGATTAGATGAAACTCACCTACTGATTTATAAACGCAATTATATTATAGCCGTCAATCATAATACATGTGGAAAATGCGTGGAAATCTTTATGTATGCAGCTTTTCTTATAGTAGCAAATTGCCTCGTAAATTGCGCCAAGGATTAAAACTGTTCGGCGTAGAAGCGAAACGGACGGAGTTTGTGCTATCAGTCGAGATTAGATCGAGTAATCGATATATGAGTATATACAATATGTATATTGATAAACAGTTTAGTCTTCTATGAAGGGAACTTGTGCTGTCTTGCACATGACACTAGAATTTAGGTTCCATTTTGTGACGAGCGCTATTGTTTGCAGAAAGGGCGTGGAGAGGGGGAGAGAGAGAGATGTCGAAATCACGTTTATGAGAGGCGAGCACGACAGATTTGCTTCTTTAAGCAAAACGTCCGAGATTGCTTTCGCAATCAACCTATAGCTAGGAATGCAGTTCCAGCATACACATCGTCCGCTTTTAGTCTGTTTCGTAATCATTTCAAGACCGACGAACTGATTCCCTAGATAAGAGTGCAACAATTAATGTCGCAATTGCAATCAATTGTGCCCATAACTTTAAAGCAGGCCATTGAGTGGGAAAAAATGCTGCTCGCTCGCACATCGAGGCTGCACATTAACATATACATACTCGAGTATATATGTGAATGAATGAAATTGTCTATTTCATATCAAATTTAAAATAAATCAAGTATAAAATTAATAATTATAATAAATGGAAATTAGATTGATAAGAATACATTAAATAAGAGAGAGAATTCTATTTTCAGTCAAAGTGGATCTTGATGCTTAATGAAATTTACGAGTGTATCAAGATTTATACATAAATATATTATACCTTTTTGCCGTTCCATGATCAACTATATATACGCGCCGATTCGAGTTGTCGGACTTGATAAATCGGCAATGATAAATTATAGTTGGAAATATAACATTACAAGAGTTATATTGATCGTCTATTTAAATAATGATGCTAATAAACATCTTAAAACATTGCAAAATTAATACGAGTAAAGCAGAGAGAAAAAGATGAAAGTTGTCAAGTAACACTTGTCGATGACCATTTATTCTTTTATTACGTAGTATAGGCGAAAGGTAAAAAAATAACTAATTCGATGTAAGTCCATATGTCCATATGTTACCTACTTAACATCCGTGGTTGCTGATTGCGCGAAATTTTGCCAGGCGGAAGGTTCAGCCGAGATCGACTGAATGAAGAGGAGGCGGGACGTTTAATTGTGATGTGAGTTGGCGTAGGACGAGAAGCCCGCGCTAAAAGAATGGTGAGATAGCTTAGCTACGTAACCGAGTTTGTAACGCTTTTACTCGTCGTACTTTTACTACGACGACAATTAAATACGACGGCGGCGCGGCGTAATCAATCCAGAAAGACAAAAGGATACACAAAGATAAATTGCGATGATTACCGCCCGCTCGTCCCTCTATATTTAATCCTGAATGGAAATAATATCGAATGAGAGATACCTAATGCGTGTGAGCAATCGGAAAGAAAATATTCGAAATAATGTGAAAGGGAAATAGATGAATTCGCGACGAAAAGCTGTGAGAAACGATCAATCGATTATAAAATATCTGGCGGCTGTGCTCAGAAGTGTCAGTACTCCCAAGAAAAAACACTGCAAATCCAAGTGTGTAAAAACTGAAAAGTGATTTCAATGACTGCAGAAGAAAGAAATTCTTTAATATGTTTATATTCAATGAGGAACTAAGGGTATAGGATCGCACAATCATATTAAAGAATTTTACAATAATTAAACACAGTTAGTATATGATGTATATAATGTGTGTATAATTTAGTGTAAAAATAACGCTATACATTGTACTATATTAAATGTGTAAATTTTCAGTTTTGTACGCAGTATATATACTCGTATATATACAGTGTGTTATTTTTACGCGGAAAACTAAACCGCGCACACGCACCACGTTGAAGTGACTTTTTACATTTGAATTTACAATGAATGTCAGATTTTCATGAAAAATTTTCAACTTACGAGTACTTGGAAAAAAAATTTCCAATTTTTTTAGCGGTCCAAAACGCAAACTGGAATTATTACAACTTCTTTTTTATATGTATATACGTATATATGTATGTTATACAACGTATCTCCGCAATTTACTTTGTGAAAACGCGAGGCGGAACTCTATTGATTAAATGAAAGTTTCAAAAATAGGGCTTCAGATTTGTAGAGGTCGACTTTGAATGAAAGTGACACAGTCGCGGGAAAACGGAGCAATTTGTTATAATATAATTAGCGTATCACTGGCCGCGGCGTACGTAAGTACTTGTCGTAAGTAATGCATGCGCCTTGAATGCCCTGAATTTGTTACATCTCGATCGGAAGATTGATATGGCAATTATAGTTGAGAAGAAGCGCATGCCGCATCCATGTAATTGTATAGGCGCGTTTGCCTTGGCACAAATTCTCGACACGTAAGATATAATAATACGCACGTGCTGTTCATTCATGGATAATCGTTATGTTTGTATACACATGGAACGCCTCACGACAGAAGCATGAAAAATGCCTCGAATCCCTTACTCCCTTTATCCTTTATCCTTCATCAGATGATAATTGTGACGTCGAAAAAGTTTCGGTATATCGCATACTCTTTCTATTATATCAAACGCTCTCGATGAAGATTTGATCGTGATAGCGCCGCGAGGAATGAAAACATGGCGTAATGCTGTGGAATATTAATTGCCGACCTACTGTCTTGAATTACCGCTTTTAATAATCTTTAATAATCTGGAAGATTTTTCCAATATAATATCTAATAATAAGCGTGAATTTTCGTCCAAGGACGAATCGCGGATTGCGCTTCAACGAATTTAATCTGCAGATAATTCTTATTTACAATCACATTTGAAAATGTGACCTGCAAAAGAATAGTCATTTTTTTAAACAATTTTTTTTTATCTGCACACTTGGGGGAAAAATCCTAATAATAAATTAGAAACGCAAGAGAAAGATAGAGTTTTTACAAGCTCGCGTACTTACCTACTTGTTCAGACTCGACTAGAAGATCGCGCTCTACTCGGTATACTCGTATGTATTGGACAATTTGCTTTCGAAGCACGCATTTGTCATGCGGTACCAATGATACCAATGATACCAATGATACCAATGATACCAATGATACTAATGCAGCTAGAGGTAGAAATATGGGTACGGAACGGCTTCATTATTGTCGTCTGTCGTCGCGCGCTACCGACCACCGAACCTGCACGGGCACGTGCGGGTCGATCGATATACACATCACATCGCATCACGTCATGTCACATCCGTACGGATTACCTTTCATGTTCCGGCTCCGGCCGCACGCGCCTGAAGGTGCAATCGTCTTCCTGCCTCGTCGACGATTACTATAACGCGTACACGTGGCCGATTCGCATGACGACCTGCCTAACCTGCCTCGTCGACGATCGATCCAACTCTATACTAAAGCTTTTTTTTTTATTTCGCCGACGTGTTGGAATCAATTTTTCAGCGACTGCTAACAGTGCTAACTGATGTATACACACATACAACTATAATATAATAAGTCTCAATTATAGCAATGGGATAAATTCCGTTTTATATCCGAGCAGCTCTACTATAAATAAATTTCTTTTCATCATTCCCACCGTTTTTACCTGCACGCACTGCAGGAAACAAGATTTATCCTTTTAAGCACACACATATATATATATATATAATTATTAATGTCGAAATGCCGCTTTATTGTTCGTAAACATTTATATAAATAGCTATAAATAGCTTTGTCATCTATAATTGTTCCTAGGCTTTGATGTAATCTTAAGCATATCCATGCATAGGTTGGACGATGCGGGAGATAGGCAATCAGTCAGCATAGTAGACGGCTCCCGATCGACCGGGTTGCACGCTCACCATCCTTCTCGAGAGTAATAAGAGAGACCGGGCTACCCGCGATGGCCACGACGGCGTCAACGGAGAAGATGCATCAGGACACGGAGGAAGACTTGCCGAAGAAGAAGCTTATAAACATGAATCTCATATCGCTCAAGTGTCTTCTGTTCGTCTTTTTCGGAGGTAAGCGTCAATCGATCGGTGCAGTATTTTTTTTATCGCCTGCCGCCTGCCGCGCCGAATTGAAGTCGTTGAAATTTCAGCTAAATTTAAATTAGAGTTATAATATAGTAGCCGGACCCCCTCTCTCTGTCGCAATCGCATAATCACGTACGCCGCGATTTTATTCCTCTTGAGGTATCGGCTGTCTCTTCCCGTTTCTTCCGCTGCACATGACCAAGGTGGGACTGAGCATCGAAAACGTCAGATTCGTGTCGATGATCTCGCCAGCGGTAGCGATACTGGGGCCGCTGATAGCGGGACCGATCGCCGACAAGCTCGCCAGCCATCAGATGTCCAATGATAAATCGTCAACCGGTCGTTACCTCCGCGTGATGATCGCCGTCGCCTGCATCTTCTCGGCACTCTTCTACTCGCTGCTGATGCTGATTCCCGCGGTGGACCGCACGTTACCAGCCGGAGCAGGCCCGCGCTTCAAGTTCAATTGCGATTGGCGCGGTGCGATGGTAAGCGATAAGCGTATATTGGTATACATATTATGCTTACTAGCTGCGGGATACGATGAACAATTTAAAAAAGGAAATTTATAAAAGAGAGAGAGACAAAAGAAAAGAAAGAGTATTTTAATTACATATTATAATATATACATGCGTATACATATATAGATGTAGAGAGTCGAGAGAATCGATAGAATATTTGATTTCTATTTAGGTATAAAATACTACTGCTACACCTCTTTTCTAACTAAACTCGTAACTCGTAACTCGTATATAGGTACGGCAAGAGAGGTGCAAGGATCGTTTTGGCTGCCATCGCTGGGCTGATTATGACAGCGGCGTGGGTGCCATGCTGCTAAAAAAATGTACCTACGCTTGCTATCCAACTGGCTGGCGACGACACTTGGAACTGACCACGCGTACGACGACGACGTTCCGAAGCAACGTCGACGTCCAAGTCGAAACCGATCTTTTCGACGGCAGTGGCGAGACTACCGTCGCCCCGTTGGATAATGCTGAACTCTATGCGCAGGTAAAACGGCGATGTAGTACAAGAGAGGAGACGCGATATTTCAATAATTAATTCATTTTATTCCATGTAAGAAATTTAACACAATATTTAAATTAATAAAATAAAAAGTATCTTATATCTAGTTATAAATATATTATAGATTTACATGCGTATTACATGCGTCCAATAAAGATTGAGAAACTTGCAGCAAAAGTAAGTGAAGCGAACGATATCGAAAGATCGAGCATATTCTTATTATTAATTTATTGTAATTTGTAATGCATATATTTGTTATTTTATGCTGATTAATATACATGTATATCAAAGTAACAAATTAGCTGGATAGTACGTCTAGTAATATTTTTTTTTTTCTTCTTTATTAGATTGTTTACAAACTTTTTTGTAATTATACATAAGTTATTATCCCTGCAGGAGAATCGTGACGAGGCGAAAAAAGCTCGTCGTTACGTCATGATCGAATATGAGCCGCCACACATGTGCTACAAGGACGAGAACGATAACATCGTCTGTCACGTTTACACAGAGTACTCTGGCACGCTACCAGTGAACGGTAGCCTCGGACAGGCACTGAATCCCGAAAACGAGGATGAATGGTGCGCGTATCCCGTAGCCGAATACTTTGCCTGTCGCATACCACACAAACTAGAAGCCTCCATGGCCCCATTTAATCAGAGTTGCTCCGTAGAATGCGACCTGGTCGATCCATATACTCTCGCGGGTAATGATCTAATTCTATATATAGAATTAATTATATCAAGTTTTATGCAGAATCTTAAAATCCTATTAAAATTAATGATTAATTGATTAGAAATATAGTATTAAAAAAAAAATATATATATATATATATATATATATATAACACATTCCAACACTTTTACGTGACTGCAGCATAGGTATAATAATTTTTGCTGCAGTAGTTAGAAAAGGTGAAATAAGGATTCCTTTCCGATTTGGATATTCTTCCGAGAAACGGAAGAATATCCAATTCTTTTTTATACCGGTGATAATAATATACATATACACATACATATATATGTACATGTACGATACGATACGATAATATGATGATATATTATGATGATAACGTCAATATTTCAGGTAGCGTACTGGTGGAAAGCCGATGCCAACATACCGGAGTCTGGACGGAAGCGGCGTTCTGGATGTACCTGTTTGTGCGATCGGTCGCAGATATCTTCCCGACGACCGCTGTCGCCCTGATCGATGCAGCGGTGGTGATTGCGACAAGGGAGACGTCGTGTGGTCGCGGCGACGTAGGACGCCAATTGGCTTTCGGCTCCCTTGGTTTCGCCCTGCTAGGACCACTGACCGGCTATCTGAGCACTCTGACGAGCAACATCGGACCGGCTTATTGGCTACCTCTCGTCCTACACGCCGTATTGATGATCCTCGCGGCTATCGTTGCTCTGTCGGCGGACGGCATGCCCCTCAGTCCACCGGAATGGTGGTGGCACACGAGAAGCGGCATGCTGGCGTTGCCAATGAGCGCTGTCAAGAGGTACGGCAGCGAAACCGTCGCCCTGATCTTTGTCCTGCTAGTCATGGGAACCTTTTGGAGCGCGATGGATAGCTACCTACCTTTGTAAGAGTTCGTTAAGATTATAGCCTCCGATCGTTAAAGGAATAATTGCGATATCATGCATTCGTTTGAAATATTAAGAATTCATATTCTTTGACACAGGCATCTGCAAAGATTAGGAGGCGATGAGCTTTCCATCGGGGTCGCTATGACTGTCGGGGCGATACCTGCGTTCTTGTTCCTCTGGAAGTCTGAACATCTTGTTGATTACTGTGGACACAGTAATCTTCTCATCACTGCCTTTACAGTGTACATAATCAGGTAGGTAAGTTTTTTTTCCAGTCCGATAATCGTGCAATCACTTTAACTGAAACAAGATCTTGTCGCTAGGTTTTATCATTTGTCATTCGTTTCAAACAGTATTATTCCATGTATAATATTCTATTGATATACTATATTGATAAATTTGGCCAGATTCACCGGACTGAGTCTCGTATCTGATCCCTGGTGGTCTCTCGTCTCGGAAGCTTTAGAAGTATTCACCTTAGGAATAATGTGGGTTACCGCCATTCTCTATCTGAGACACTTGGTACCGCGTCATTTGACCGTAACTGCCCAAGCGTGGCCTGTGATAGCTCACTTTTGCATCGGTACGTCACTTTTCCAATCTGTAACTGCGACAATGAGAGAATGGACAAATAGAACTAAATTATTAATATTAATTCTGTCTGATTAATTCATAGGCCGATGTCTCGGATCCGTCATCGGTGCTTATATCAATCTCGGCGACGAGGACATCGTACAATCATTGAGATTCGTGTTTCGTTGTATGGCGGTAGCAGCGGCCATCGTTGCCAGTCTGTATTTCGTATTGTATCATGGAGTATTGAAGCCGAGATGCCATGCACATACCATCCAGGGTCCTCGTCAACCCTCCACAATCGTGCAAGGTAAGCGCAGGTGTTTTAAATAGCGTGCACCTAAGCTAATCAAAGTCTTAAATGTAGTCTCCTTCTAACTTAAATTTTGATATGGCTTTACAAGCTGCCATAAGGGATTATGAATTGAGTAAGTGATCGAACACGCTCAAGATTTTCTATACATCTTTCAGGTTCTTCAGAACATGAGTAATTTATGTGTTACCTAACAATAATATATCTTATCTACGCGGAAATCTTCAGAACTGACTTTTCTGGTTTTAACGATAAACTGAAATACATCACAATCTGAGGAGAAAAAAAAAAATCAGTTCTGCAGTATTTCCTCGAGAGATGCCACCCTTTTCTGCATGTATTACGGAGAAATGTGCTGTTTCCGAACGCGTGCTATGTTTATAATTTTCATCGTTTTCATAATTTTTTTTTTACAATTTTACAAATGTAGCAATGAATGGAAATGGAAATTACGCGCCGCTGAGAGTATACCATAATGGAATGGGCAAAAAGGGTCAATTTCGATACTGAGACGTTATCTGTACGAACGAATGAAGAGTTCTAGAAACAACACTGCAACAATGATTCCACAATGCAACGTATAAATGTCATCAGCGACCAAGTGCTGACCAAGTGTGTGTTCTCAAGTATTTCGCGTTGCGTCGCATTTATCGTCATTTGTTAATTTAAGTCGACTCGACATATTACCGTTTCTATTTCTTAACGTTATTATTTAAATAAATTATTATCACACAAGGATCACTACTTGCTCAAGTACGTTCTATGAGCTATATCAGTATCTATTTGTAACCATAAAGCGTAAGCATATACATATAGCGAGCAGCATAACGCGAATAATTTTCACGTATCGCAGTAACAAAAAGAGATAGGAAAACATTTTTTATGTCCACGAAAAACGTCCACGAAAAACGACAAGTAATGTTTATAATATTTCCTTAGTTTTCTATTATAAATTCCTTTTTCTTTAATACAATTACTTTTACATTCACATAAATCTTGTGATATATACCTGAGGTATATACAATTAAACATGAATAAACTTTTTTTGGTGAAATTACAGCGAGATTTACATGCGTTTTCACATGTAATATAAATCCGATAAGTATATCAATAAAAAAGGTCTATTTGATTAGACAAATGTTACGTTTCTGTGAGTTGATATAAATGTATACAAAAATGAAATAAAAACACGTTGGAGAGAAACGATATTGCCATTTACTGAATGTTTATAATATATGTATATTATAAGTTTATTTATATGCAGTCTGTGCGGAATTTCAACGTTGCTGACATGATTACAGCCGCTGAAAGAAAATGTATCCAATGGCCTAACCGCAAGACTTGCGTTACGATCAGTTACATTAAATTTAAAGTAGGCTAGCGTGTTTACGTATCTTTTATATATAGATATATAACAATTTATTTTCTTCGTACACTTTCCTTCTCTTTCCTCGCAATTTTAACGTGACATACACGCATAAGTTTGCAGTTACAAGTAATTAGATATAACATACGTGTATTTATTGGGTAGCACACACACACACACGCTCATAAAAATAATAAAGAATATTAAATAATCGGTTACATAATATAACTCGTCAAGCTAATATACTACAAGAAAAATCCTATAACATCTTATTTATATATTTTACAAAGCGTTCAATGCTCTTATGTACAAGTTCATGCAAACTACATATTTAAACAAAATTGAAAGATTTTTGTTGTTAAATAGTGGAAAATAAAGAAAAAATTTTTTTTCAACAAAATCATATTTTATATTTTATTGCAAACTTTGTGCCATTTAAAAATTAAAGTAAAATAATAATTATCATCTGTGTTATACATTTGTCTTATACGATCAATATAAAAAGAAATAAATTCGGTATGTTTAATATGTAAGAAAAAAAAAATATTAATACATCTGTATCGATTATTTTCAAGATCGAGATACATCATTATACCTGAAACATTTCGTATATCAATTGTTATGGGAGTGATTAATTAATAATAGTTAATTATAGGAATAATACTCGATGTACGAAGAGTTTCGGGCAGAAAGAAATGTCTTTTAAACTGCCGGAAATTTAAAAATTGAAAAAAAAAAAGATAAATAAAAAACTGTCTTTTTATGAAAACTAGAAAATACAAAAATATCAAAGAGTATGTATACGGATATATAATTTTTCATCTTTCTAATTTTACATATTTTTTTTCGAATTTTCCACTATAATTTCAATTTTTTAATTTTGAAATTTTTTTATTTAAATTTGTGTTGCCAAGACATTTTTATTCAGTAACGAAAATATAAATTGTCAAGAAAACCGATCAACGTTACTGATTTTGTTATTGAATAAGGAAAATTTGTAAAAAATTAAGAAAAATGTGTATATGTACATATTACATTTAATCATAGAATAAAAAAAATCGTATTATTTATTGTTAATTTGCTAGATAAGATTTAGAGAGAGATCTCAGTTTCTAAGATATTTGTTAAACATATTCTTGACATTAATTTGATGTTGAAAATATGTTAGATATATGTATATCTCGAATAAATGCGAATTCCCGTTGAAAACAACTTATTTTTTTACTTTATATATCGGATCTCTTTAAAATCTAGAAATGAAATGTACAACTTTTATACAATACAAATTATATATATATGTGTGTGTGTGTGTGTGTTCTTGAGATATCGCAAAATATCAAAATTTCAAATCAAGACGCATTTCTACTGTAATGATCAATTCCAAAATTGAATGGTAAGAGTATTTAATCTACAACAATACAATTAATAAATAATCCCTCCTCATTAATCATCGATAATAGTACAATCCTCCTCACTTTCCGTAGAAGCAGCTTCTACATTTATTATATCATTTTTATTTGAGTTTGCTTCATTATCTGACACAATCACATCATTGTTCATTGTATCTATATGAATTGTTGGCAATTCCGTTGTATGCAACTTATCGTTCAATTCCATACTTACTTCTTGTATCTTAATATTAGAATTATTAACAATTTCTTCGTCATTCCTATTCAGTGTGTCACTTTTGTCATCTTCGGTCACCGAGTCAATGTTATCACTCAAGTGTTTTTCTTGTTGGCAATTTTTCGATTGCTCAACAGATACAATAGGCAAGTCGATATTTTTCTCTTGTTGACAGTTTTCCAATTGTTTGGCAGGCACAACAGACAAATCGTTATTTTCTTCTTGCTGGCGATTTTTCAATTGGTCGGTAGATAAAACAGATAAATTGATATTTTCCTCTTGTTGTTGACAATTTTTTAATTGACTGCTAGATACAGCAGATAATTCGATATTTTCTTCTGGTTGAGAAATTTTCAATTGATCGGTAGATACAACAGATACATCGGCATTTATTCCTTGGCGACAATTTTTCAATTGATCAGTAGATTCAATAGGTAAATCGATATCTTGAAACAAATGCGAAGTGAATGGTAGAGCCGTTTGCAGTTCCTGAATTGGCGTTTCTTCCAAATCCATCAAACCCTTCGAATCTTCCGTCTCAATGCCATTATCCTCGATGTGCTGCAAATAGTAGATAAACTGTTCCTCGTATTTGCCGAAATTCTTGTCAGATGTAAGTGGGGAATCCAAAACACTATCGTCCGTTTTCGGGTCGTAGGCGGCGGTTTTCATAAGCATAGAATAACCGATGCATTTCTCATAATCCCTCGAGACAATATCATACACCTGAATTGCTTTGTCTACAGACAAGTGCGCACTATCATCACCAACACCACGATGCACAACATTTTTTTTACAAAATAATAAATCCTTAATAATATTATTATCTTTAACTAAATCGGATGGCTCCATTATCTGACAGTCCTGATTTTCGTAATCAGATTCGGTATCGGAATCGTTGACGCAAGTCATATCTAAGGGAATATCTACATTTTCTCGGGATTCTAATGAATTTTCATTAACCGGAGACAATGTTTCCGTTTCCATTTCCGTCTTCTGAGATCTCCTCCATTCGATGTATTGACGTACTATCCTATCGTTGATGTGTACCAATTGAAAAACCGTGTCACGCATATTGCAATAGAAATGCAGAATTTTCTGTCGCGCTTTTATTTCGATGTTTTCGACTGCATTGTTCAAGTCAAAGAAATTATACATCTTTTCCTTTGCATCGTTTAAAAGTCTATCCAATTCTTGGCTATGTGGTAACATCATTTCGTTGAAGGAGACATCTTTTTTTATAGTCGCGCATGTCATTCTCAGAGGCTGTTCCTCCTTTACGCCATCGTCGTCACTCTTTTCCCAGGTGAGAGCAACAGGTACAACCTTATCGGTGTCTGTGTTGTCTCTGTTTGTGTCAATTGTCAAATTAGTTTGCTGCTCGACGACTTTTGGTTCATCATCGGAATCGCTATCGAGATCGATTATGTTAGGAGTTAACGTTATACCCAAATCTTTTGGCTTTGGAAGAATAAATAGAGGTCTGTTGTCCACTGGATTAGGTATAGATACCATTGTGTTTGGCGAAGATTGAAGCGACTGCGACGATTGATAAGAGCTCGCTTGCTGCGGCTGGTACGTCAACTGCGGCTGCGGCTGTGACGGGATAATAATCCGATTCATCGGAATAGGCGTTTGAATGTAAGCTGTGGATCCCGAGGGGTTCATAAAAGATGTGCGATACAAGGGAGATGATTGCTGCTGTAACGCATTGGGATCGAATCTCGACGGTAACGAAGTATTTGAATTGATAACACTGGGCGATGAAAGGACGATACTCTCTGATGGGGCTACAGTTGAATTTTTATGACCGACGACAGATTTCGATGACTCGGCATTAAAAGATTGACCGGTAAGGAAAGCGGTCGGGCGTGGTCTGATAGGAATTGGCATTCGGTTGATAAACTGTGCTCCTTTCGTAACAATGCCATTCTGCATCATCGGCCTGAATCTTCTCAATTGTTTACGTTTTATATGTCCCGGTATCCCATTGGCTTTAGGTGAATACGTTTCGTCCTCTTCCTCGGAATTGGAATCGAGTCTTCGTCGCTTACGTTTACTTCTCCGCGGACAACACGTTGATTCGTCCAAATTCATCTTCTCCTCGATCTCTTGAGTGTCCATTTTCTTGTCCTGCGAAAGTATCCTAAAATATACCGCATCAAATATGAATGTTAATAAACATTTTCCACACTGGAATGAAATATAATTCAATGAAAATTAATACAATTACATTCGTGTAACGTAATATTTTTGTAATATTTTGCGATACCTTTTCACTGTTTGTACATGTTGAAGTAGAGCCCAGCACACAGCTCTTGCGTTATACAAATCACTTGGATGGCACACAAAACATTTCCATTTCTCATCAGCTTCGATCTTCTTTCTCACCAAGGACGAAAAGTTTCTCCTTATACATTTATAACAGAATGTATTGCTGCAATAGGAGCAACAGTATAAATTGCCACCATTGGCGCACCAACGACAGAACATATCTGTAGCGTCATCACCTGAGAGCAAGGTAAAAATATAGATTATACAATCATATCCAGATACAAGCACAAATAAGTGGGGAAACACATAAAGACAAACGCACATTAATTATAATATTACCTTGCTCAAAACAGCCATCGCCATAAAAATCTCGACAACTTGAACACAATAATGTACGAAGTACAGGATGTTCAAACATATTATGCGCTTGTGCCGGAGCCGAACCAATGTGTACGTCGCAGGCTGTACAATGAATTCTACGGAATCGCACCGATGCGATATCTAAAAACAAAATTGGACGTTGGATTTACGCTATGATGCACAATTCTCACGGTTTCGTGAGAAGCGAATCTCCGTCGTGTAATTTGTATCTCTTATACAAACAAACCTCAGGCTCTAGAGCGCAATTAGAAAGCGAAACTAAACTACAAACTAAACTAGGAACTACACGTTACAAGCCAAGGCATGCTTGTTTAAAGAGCTGACCATTGCCGAATATGAGCTTGTGGTAATTGCTCTCCTCCTGAGAGAACGGGGCGAGGGTCATGCTGGTTGCGCTGGACGCCTGATCATTTTCTGGTGTTACTAAACAGAAAACCACGCCAAGTAAGTAAATAGGTTAGAGTAGGTAATAAACTCGTAAAAATTATCCTGGTTACGCGGGAGACGCGCGTTACTGCCGTTTACTCCTTCACGTTTATCACTACGCTTACCGTTC